ACTGTATGTGAACGGTCTGTAGGTACTGTATTCCAGCTACCTAATCCAGATGCTATTTACAGTCGAGATGAAGAGAAGAAGAGGAAGTGGGCGGCCATCCCGCTTTGTTTGGGTTGGCGCGCGGCGCACGGTGCACGGGCTGCTGGGGGAAGGAGTGATAGAAGGAAGGAAGCGACTAGGCCAGCGGCCTAGTCATGTGACCTAGGGCTCAGCCCGTTACAGACATAGACTACTTCGTCTTTGTCTAGTTTACCGTTGAGAAAGGCGGTAACAACGTCTGCTTGCTCGCATTCTAAGTCTTCGGTTGCGACAAGGGCGAGAAGGACTTTCAGTGTAGTTGCGCGAGCTACTGCAGCGTAGGTTTCGCGCCAGAAGTCGGTCTCCTGCCTATTGCCACAGACAACCAGTCGAGCCTTGAAGCGCTCGAGTTGTCCATCGTCCTTGACTTTGTATTTGTATACCCACTTAGTAGGCAGGGCGTATACGCCGGGAGGGATCGTGGTTGTGGTCTCCCATGTGCCATTCTGGTCGAGTGATACGAGCTCTTCATCTTCAGCAGCGATCCATTGCTTGCTGTATGGATGAAGGCGTGCTGCCTTGCGTGTGGCAGGCTCAGGCGGTAAGTCTGTTGTTGTTGCCTCTGTAATTGCCGTAGCAAAGCAACGAGAGACTGCCGCGTATCGGTTGGGCGGTCGAGTGATGCGACGACGTCCATCGAGTATGTTACGGGCATCAAATGATGCACTGATCTCGTCGTGACGTGGAGCGTTTTGGGATGTATCCCGACGCTGAGGTGTTGCTCGAGCATTAGCAACCTCGGTAAGACTGTTATAGTTGTTGTCAGACCTGGCACCTTGTGCACTAAGTACACTGTGAATGATGTACTCACATGACCCACTAGTGCGTGCTTACTCAGCTCGCTACTCACGTATATAGTCCCTCTCTGTTACTCACTTAATACAACAACCTTCTCCCTCATGTATGCTTGGTCCTCCCACATCTGACAGTTGTCAATGTCCGCGTCAAAGTCAAAGCTAGACTGCGCTTCAGCCTCTAGTCCGTCAAATACATAACCACTACCTTGCTCCGGGAGAGAGACTTCATGGTGTGGAAATGAAGAGGGATCTAGTGCTGGCGGTGGATCTTGGATATAGAAGCATTGATCCGGTTTGGTTGTAGCCACACCTGAGATCAATCAATCAAGCAAGCTGACAGCCCCCGGCTTGATTGATTGGCTGTTTGTATGAGATTTGGCTGGATTGATTGAATTGGCTTGGCGGAAAGTTGTTAGCTTGATTGGTAGCTTGGGTGCTTGATTCCCAAATAGGAAAGTTGTATATATTTTTTGGTGTTGAGTCTCAGCCGTCGTCCCATGTATCTAGATCGTCGTCTTCGCCCACCCACTTGCTAAGCTCGTACAAAACGTCCATCTGCTCGTCGGTAAGCTTTGATTGGCCCATATCGTCGTTGTCGCCGCCACCAAAACCTGCCCGTCTCCATCGTCGTACTGAGTGTAGTGCTGCTAGTAGCTCAGGTGATATACAGCGTCGGCGAGGCTCTAGTAGATCTCCGAGCTCACTGAAGACGCGCTCACACTCACAGCTTGAAGCGGGTATAGAGAGTATAGTAAGCGCCATCTTACTAAGGTTGGGATATTGATCGCGCAGCCCGAACCAGTATTGTATAGGATCGGTGCCCTTGCCAACGATTGGCTCGCGCTTCCACTGCTCATACTCATCCTCCTTAGTATTGCCGCGTGTGGGATCAATAATGCCGTCAATCGCGTCGTCAATATTGCCCGGTTTCTTCGGTGCGCGTGTGTAGCAAGGCCTCGGTAACGGCAGCGACTTGTAATCCGCCCACAGTGCCTGGAAATTAAGATTATTAAGCGCCAGCCAGTCAGGCTTCTCAGCCCACGCTTGATCGCAGTAGTGTTTGTAGCGAGGATAGAGTATTGTAGCAGCGTAGTAAGCTGGCGAGTCGTTAAGTTTGGCGTAGTACTCGTTCGCCTTAAGTAGCGCTGCGCGTAGATTGATAGGAAGGTGATCTTCGGGTGCCTTGTCGTGAGCGTTATGGACTACGCAATCGTAGTAGAGGAGGCGAGCTTCTAATTAAGTGAGTAGAAACTCAAACGTTGGGATCACCTCAGCGATCGCGCTAAAGCTATACTCGCTACGTCCCTTAAAGCGCTTTGTACACTCTTTGAGTGGCCTAAGAACCTCTATATAGTCGGTAATAATAGCCTAATTAGCAGCTGTGAGGCCGTCTAATCTCATCTACTGTGGAGCAGCAGGCCGATTTTTGCCCCGTGAGTCGGCGTAGATATCCTCTTTTGCTGTATTTTGTATGTGGGTGTTCGCGTACGCGTTGATGGCCGGCGCGAGCTTTATAGCTCGCTCAAAACAGTCGAAGTATGAGTTCCAGCGTGTGACTACTGGCTTTATTGGCTATAGTATCGTGAGCTTGTCGTCTGCGTCGTGAGGTAGCTCACGGTAAGCTGTACGCTGCGCCTTCTTAAAAAGATTGTACTGCTGCGGTGTGTAGATATAGTTGATAATATCGAGAAGTACGCCTAAAGGCCCGTGCTTTCGCCACTCCTTTATAAACGCTGCCTCGTTAGTGAGCTCGTCAACTCCCTCGTTGTTGTATAAGTCTGCATCTCTGCCCCAGAGCAGTCTCTGCCCAATCAGATTAATCGTATGAGGGCCACAGCGGAGGCGTCGGTGTATAGGATTGAAGTTAAGCTCGTGGGCAATCGCAGCGACAGCGGTGTCGTTATTAGAGGCATTGTCGAGGACGAAGTAACCGAGTGTACGCTCGCTTATGCTAAACTGCTCTAAGATTGATAATACAACCTTAGCTAATCGATCGCCGGAGTAAGCGCCTGTGAGCTGAGGCAGCGCGATAGGCAGGTCTCGGAGCTTGCCATCTGAGTTGACGTAGTAGGCGACGATACCGAGAAACCCGCGCTTGCCGCCTTTCGTCGTCCATCTGTCAAAGCTTATATAGATCTTGCTAAGCGATTGTGACAGCTCGTAGACGACGCAGGGCCTGAGCCAGTCAAACAGTCGTATAACGTATTAGGAGACGCTCTTGTGGTTCTTCTAGAGCGCTGCTTCTGCAAGTGGGTTGGCGATAGCAATTAGGCGTCGAAAAGCTGGTGTTTCGAACTCAGAGATGGGGTGGTTGTTCGCGACGAGCCAGTCTACTGCGGCAAACCTAAAGCGCTGCTTGCTAAACCCATTAATCTAATTAGCTACTGCCTGTGAGATAGGGACTCTCGCAGTGGTGAGCGCGTTGTAAACACTAGCAACTAGAGTCTTGCCTAGTGCTACTAGCCTATGGCCTAGTTTCTGCTCGCTAAGGTGGCGCGCGGCTGACGAGACTGCTGCGCTTGTATTGTATAACCTAATACCAATATCCGTGAGCTTGTGCTTGAAACACCAGTGGCAGATAAAGAATACGCGGGTTGGATCTTTGAGAAGAGCGACGCGATAGCCGTGGCAATAGATCTAACTCCGCTTGTGTTAGTGCGTCGTGATAGGCTTCGTATACAGCTTAAGGCGACCCTAATCTATGCCATTATAATTGTCTTCGAGATGGGCGTCAAAAGCCTCATCTACAGCGTTGTCGGCGGCTTCAGAAGACGGAGCGAGCGTAGCTTGCTCACTGCCCTCGGCGGGCGCGACGATAGCGTCTTCGGGCTGCGACTCGCGTAATCGCGACTCGAAAGTATGTGTATATGGAGGCGGCGGAGATAGAGCAGATGGCTGAGATTGATATAACTGCGAGTCGATCGCGACGGGCTGGCTCGCAGTGCCGCGCGCGCGCTTTCTAGGCGAGGGAGCGCTATTAGAGACGCGTTTTTTAGGCGGCATGAGGGCGACGATGAGGTGAGGTATACGGCGATAGATCTGCAACACCAAAAGTATATAGTATTGTAGGTGATGGAGATGGAGATGGAGTATACTATATGAGACGACGCGCTGGCTGCTAGTTACACGGAGCTATCGGATATTACTCAATGTTACACGGCGTAACTAAAACACCAAAAAAAGCTCAGTATAGAGCTTTTACAGCTATCCAAGCTGCCTCATGGGCTGCCTCATCACCGAAATCTACTATATACTTAAGGCAATCAAGCTATCAATCTGAATCAAGCTCACGGAAAAGCTCAGCTGGATTGATTGCGTTTTTGTATGAGGTTTGGCTGGATTGATTGAATTGGCTTGGCATCAATCTTCCAATCAAGCTATCAAGCTAGCTTGATTGATCTCAGGTGTGGGAATGATAACCGACGGCGAGATGGAGCTTTTATATGGGCTGGCGGGTTGGGAAGACGACGAGTAAACTCAACACTAAAATACTATCGTGAGATCGCTCTACCCGCAAAACGAGCAGCCTTATATAGCGCCTTGGCACCTAACGCCACCAAGCTGAACAATCAAGCCTCAATCAAGCCACCAAAAACGCCTCATCAAGCTCACTTCATCTAAAACAGCAATCAATCCAAGCTAATGCCTCGAGATTGATTGGCTTGATTGTTGACACCTCTGCCAAAGAGATAGCAGTTGAGTGAACTTCAGTGGTTAAAAGATTGTAGTAGGCAAATCCGGGCTCATAACTCTCACGTATGTGATACAGAAGAAGAGATGAAGGACTGAGTTGATTGTATAACTATGAACGAGGGAAGCTATATATATATGTGAGGAATGAGAGAGTGTAGGGATAGCCCTGCTAGCGTGCAACACTAGCACATCATGGCATTTTTCCTGCGCAAAAAGAGTTGTGTTTCTTGCCTTAGAGGCCTATGAATAGTGGTATTATTGTTGAGCGTGTATTTATCGTTGAGCTCGGGGGCCATCCCTGGGCCCGAGTAGGGTCACCTCACCAGGAATGATCCTCTTTCCCACCACTGCGTGCCCTGCAGAACGGCTATTGATTATAACATCAACCTCGCCAATGGTACTAACCCCTGCTTCATCATTAGCTTTCAACTTCTAGTTATAAGCTTCGATGATGTTATCAGGAAGTTTAGCTAGTGCTTGGTCAAGGTCATCGATGATATCTTGGACGTCCTCAATGCCGATCGAGAATCGAATAAACGCCTATGTAAGAAAATAATTAGAGCTTAAAACTTCAAATATTTAGATAATGAACTTGAAAAGAACATACAGGAGTAATTCCAGCTTCGCGTCTGTCTTTCTCTGACATGGTTACGTGTGTCGAACTCCACGGATGGGTTGCCAGTGTTTTCGCATCACCAACACTAGTGAGAAATTAGCATATAACCCAAAGTAAACGCGTAAACTGACTTACTTAGTTTGGTGGGATATCACATTAATGTAATTCATCAACAACTTACTAGCCACATCCCCACCCTTTGGCGCAAAAGCCATTACACTCCCAAAGCCATTTTTTAGGTACTTTTTGGCATTATTGTGGTACAGATTGTCTGCTAGACCTGCGAGTGCTTGAATCAGCTTCTCTATAGTAGATAGCAATGACTTGAATGTGACATACCAGGATAATTCACCCAAGCTATCCGTGGGTGTGATTGCAAGAAGTGAGCAATCTGCATCGAGTTCCTGCTATGTCTCTCGCATCGTAAACTCAGTGTTTCCATTCCAATCAGCAGTTGCTGTGCTGATGCCGGGGCTAGGACTGATCCCACCTCCATTGAATCTATTCGCATTGCCATGGCGAAGCTTATGTTCCCAAATGCTTTCCAGTGTGACACGCCGGTGGACCTTTTCGTAATCATACGAGGAAACTTTTCGCCAGCTTTGCCCCAATCAAACATTCCGCAATCAACTACAACGCCTCCTATTGTGGTGCCATGGCCTCCTATCCATTTAGTTGCTGAATGCAATATAATGTCCGCACCAAAATCTATCGGTCGACACCAAGTCCCGCATGCTCCAAAAGTGTTGTCCACCTTCAATTATATTAGTACATTAGTCCTTAAATATCAAGACAAAAGATAACTGACCACAAGCGGAACCAGGTTTTGGTGTGCCAAATTTGCCAAGTCCTGCAGATCTGGAACACTGCATCGAGGGTTTCCAATACTCTCGACGTAAAGAAGTTTTGACTTCTCGTCCACATATTTTGCAAATTCCTCTCTCGTCTCTTCTTTCGCCCACTTCACAGTAATCCCAAGGCGGGGAAGTAAAGTATTGAAGAGACTGTAAGTACCTCCATAGAGATTTATAGAAGCAACAATATTATCACCAGCGCCTGCAAGGCAAATGATGGTATTGAAAATTGCTGATTGTCCAGATGCTGTCGCGACGGCGGCTGTACCACCTTCCAAAGAAGCAGCACGCTTCTCAAAGACACCGACGGTTGGCTATGTCTGCTATTAGCATAGTCATGTTCATATAGTTTCGTTAATTTCGCACATTTGAGATCCGACTATAGGTATAACCGGCTTCTTCCATCGCACAAATTCTCTTAGCGTGCTCGCTCTCGGTAAATACGAAGGACTAATAATAGAGTCATTTTCTAATCACGCTCTTGGGAAAGCAAACAGGATCAAGCCTACCACACTATTATATATAGGTACTGCTCGAGCATGGGTCTCTTTATCAGGCCTGTGACCTCCATGTATTTGAAGAGTGTCATATCTCAGGCCTTCATCAAACTTTTCAACTTTGTAAGGTTGAAGAGGGTCATGGCCCTCGAGGAGAACAGATGGAGGGTAAATCAGTCCTGTTGAAGCTTTGTCATCTTCGGTGCTATTGCTTATAGAACTGTTTATAGCATGTGCTCTGTTTGTGGGGATCTGACTGTCCGCCGATGTAGTATCCCTTTCGATAGTTGCCAGCATTCTTTTTTAACTTGAAATTGATATTCAGAAGTTTGCTAAATAAACTCAAAGTTATACTGATATGTGTCAGGGGCTCGCTTGACAATTTGTAACTGATAAAAGAGCTAGACAAAATAATATTTAATAGATTGGTATGTATATATATCTGATCGGAGTTTTGCTCTGCCTTTCTAAAGCTTAAAATGCACTAATACAGTCTAATTACTATACATCTACAAGCCGGTTTATTCGGCTGCCGGTAGAGAGTCATTTCAACTGTGTCTAGGCGCGCTGTCTAATCGTAGTTCGGTTAAGTTACTAGTGCCGGATAGGCGTACCGGTAGCACCTAGGATAGACAAATTAGTCTATACTAGAGCCATAATGTTACATGCTACGAACACCTAATGATAGCCTCTATCTCAAGCAAATTCAATACTAGATTATCGGGTAGTTTGGAAAGATGAAGAACACGAGGGAGTATATTACAGAGCACTAATTTTACTTGAATCATATTCTGTCTTCGAGATTGTTTAATGTCCATGTTTCATCAGGGAATTCTAGAAGTCATGTCCCCCAACAAATCCGACAAATCCGACAAATCCGACAAATCCGACAAATCCGACAAATCCGACAAATCCGACAAATCCGACAAATCCCACAAATCCCACAAATCCGACAAATCCGACAAATCCGACAAATCCGACAAATCCGACAAATCCGACAAATCCCACAAATCCCACAAATCCCACAAATCCCACAAATCCGACAAATCCGACAAATCCGACAAATCCGACAAATCCCACAAATCCCACAAATCCCACAAATCCCACAAATCCAATTTAGATTTATGTAGGCCTACTAGCTAGACAAACTCTTCTCGCTATTATTAAAAAGTATTTGTGGGTAGTGTAAAAGTGTACAACTGCTAGACTGCTAAATATGCCACATATGCCACATATGTTTAGCCTGCCAGACGGGTATCCAGATGTACGAGTATAGATTCTTGTTATAGTGTGGATAGGGCAGAGCTAACCTTTATCTAGTATATCCGACTCATTCTAAGTACACGTGTCTACAACATCATTCAACAAACCCCTCTTACCTCTGCCCCCAATATCAGTAGACAGTCCGGGTGTCATATCATGCTTAAGCGTGAGGAACAGCTGCCTACGTTCAGCTTTAAACTTCGAGGCGCGTACAACAAGATGGCATATCTACGCCCTAAGGATAGTTGGAAAGGCGTTATTACCTGTAGCACTGGTATGTTAGTGGAGTTGTAATGTATGAATAAATCAGCTAACCTTCTGTATAGGGAATCATGCCTACGGTGTTGCTTTCTCATCCCGCTGCCTAAAGATACCTGCGATCATAGTCATGCCTCTCAAGACGCCCGAAATTATTAAAAAACCAATATCACAGATGGGAGCTAAGATTGTGCTATACGGTGCCGACTACGAAGAAGCAGAAGAAGAAGCTCGCCGTCTAGCAGAACTGCATAATATCATATTCATATCTGCCTTCGACGACCCATATGTAATTGCCGGACATGGGACGATAGGTATGGAGATTTCAAGGCAGACAGATTTAAAGAAGTTGAAAGCTATCTTCTGCGCTGTAGGAGGCGGTGGAATGATCGCGGGGATAGGACTATACATCAAGCGTTTGGCACCAAATGTTCAGATAATTGGTGTTGAATCGGTGGATGCGAATGCAATGGCACAGTCATTACGGGCGAGAAAGCGAGTAATACTTGAGCAGGTTGACACCTTTTCCGGTAGTGCTGCTGTTAAGATTGTTGGAGAAGAAACCTTCAGAATATGCTTAGACGTGGTAGATTCGATTGAAGAAGTAACGGTTGATGAGACATGCGCGGCTATAAAAGATATATACGACGACACGCGGGTACTTGCGGAACCTGCTGGTGCCCTACCACTTGCGGGACTTCAAAAATGGGCAGCCCGAAATCCAAGTCTTCACGAAGACAGTAGTCTGATCGCTATCGTAGGAGGTGCTAACATGACATTTGATTGCCTTCCTTTTATTACTGAACGTGTTCGAGCCAGCAAAGAACATTAACTAGCCTTTGTTTAGGGCAAAGATGTATAATCACTTAGGATCCTTCCCTAGTTGCCGGAAAACCTGGTGGGCTGAATGAGCCAATGAGATACAGCATCGCGTGGGGATCATTGCTGGTTTTGCGCTCTTATTGGCTAGTTCCGGCCCACCGGCTTTTCCGGCACACACGGAGGGACTTCAACAAAATGTTCTTATAATTTAATTTAAATATCCTTAGTGTTGGTAGGCCTTGTACGATCGTACGGGTGAATAACAACAACGAGGTTCTTCTGGTGACTGGTATTGGTATTCTCTACGAACATAGGTGCTACGAAGGTATACCTAAGCTCTGCGCACATCGAACACCAACTTTTCGAGATGACAAAAAGGTTCTGGATTACCCTGTTACGAACCTAAGGAGAGGACACAGTGCAAGATATGAAGGGCAGAAGGATGGAGACCTTGTCGGAATCCCTTCTCAGACAAAGGCGTACAAAGGTGTACAAGGACCAATGACGTAAGCCTGCCCCGCATCCCACAAAGCTTGGCGGAACGCCACCATGGGACATGTCACGTGTGTCCCAAGGAATCCCACGATGTACCACGATGTCCCACGCATGGGACAGTGTAGGACAACGTAGGACGTATAGGACATAGGACATTCGTTAGTATATAACAATAGGCAATGAGCCCTTACGGTTCATTGTGTTCAACTTTGAAATCTAAGGATTAGTACTTGATTCTCAACTCCCCGTATATTACATCGATCTACCAATCGTGCTATACACCCTCGTGTCCATCGCATCACTCTATCCCCGAGAACCAACCCAAGATCATCTTCGGACGACCTTCACATACCCTTTTTTCATCTCAAATCCATTGAAATGCCTTCCTAGAATCAGTTTCCAATGCCTGTTTCTGCGTGCAGGCGTTGAGGCGGGCGCGCTGGCCACTGCAACTTTGACAGAGTTGTGACCTGGCCTTAGTTGAGAGAAATCTCTGCAAGTGGCCCGTGCGCCAACTGATTTTAGATGTTCGATCGAAGGCACCCTCTACGAAACCGACAGAGCAACGGCTCTTCCTTAGGTATATAGCTCTATTGCTGCAAAGTAATAGGCCTATATATCTAGATGCTACCTATACCCGAACGCCCTAAACCAACTCGATATACCGACCCCATATACCGAACCGCTCCAGCACCTGCTGTCACCAGCACACGCACGAGCAAAACACCGACCAGGCACTAGATGTATAGATCTATTATCTCTCTTGTAGATCCCTATATACAGACGCCTACACAAAACAACAGACAGACACTGTATAAAACTACAAACAATATTTCTTTTCGCAAAGAGCTCGCTGTTACATCTCTTTCTGTTCACCACACTGCTCTTTAGCACCCGCGCCAATGGAAGACTAGCTCGGAAATTGGACTACGCAACTATCCTCCAAATTGTACAAGACCTATAGAAACTCCATATTGAACAACATACATAGAACGGCTTAGCCAAAGTCCTACATAGTCACCGACTGATACAGGACTCTAATGGAAATATAATAATAATAATAATAATACGGTTGTGGGCACACCTAGGGGGTGCCAAGCCTTACTGTGATCTGATTGGCTCTCACAGATGCCGGGTCGCACTAGTCTGACCTGGCGTCTGTACGCTCTCATCTTCAACAGTGCTATTATCTGACAGGTCTACTAGTAGTAGTGCAGCGTCTATTGCAGATTTCTTCTGTCTGCCTCCAATCTGGGTGTTATGTAGTAGGTTGGTGATTTCTGCTAGACTACTGAGCCTATTTGCAATGATCCTTTCTAGAATCTTCCCTAGGCAGCTTAGTAGAGTGATTACTCTATAGGCCTTAGGGATAGAATAGTCTAGTTTTGATGGCTTTTTAAGAATAGCTCATGTGGCTCGTTTCCAGCATTTTGGCTGGTATCCGTAGTTGAAGAGGAGTGAGAAGCATAGATTTTGATTCCTGAATTATTCAAATCAAACACCCGGAATCAGAGTCAAATCAGGCCGAGTCAGCACGAATCAGAGTCAAATCAGAGTCAAATCAGAGTCAAATCGAAGTCAAATCAGAGTTAGGTGTTGTTGGTGTTTTTGTATATTATTATTATTATTATTATTCCATTAGAGTCCTTTTTCAGTCAGAGACTATGTAGGACTTTGGCCGAAGGCCGTTCTATCTTGGTTTTTCTAATTTACATGGTTTTCTGGTATGGTTCGCTAATATGGTTTTTGGCTTTTCTACAAAATTATTATTATTATTATTATTATTCCATTAGTGTCGGATCGTGAGTATCGGTAGAGACGTCGGCTGCTGGACACTTCGGCCCGACTTCGGCCCACCTTGCGCAGAGCTTAGGTATACCTTCGTAGCAGCTGTGTTCGTAATAAATCAATCACCATCACCGAACAGAATGCATTCCTAGTTATCGTTATTTCCTTTCAGCACTAGTGCTATAGACCTTCCAACACTGATCAGTGATTGCTTGAGGCGATCACAGACAGCAAGGTAGAAGAGACAGACCGCATCTTCGACGAACTCCCTGACGCACGACGTTATACTCCCGGGAGAAGATTCTGTGCTAAGAACAGAGCGAGGCAGAGATAACACAAAGCACTCTTAACCTCCCTCTACAGCTGCTGGTTTAGCTTAATCCGCGAACACAGAGCGCGTCAGCAACGCAATACAACTCAACCGTACGAGCGTCTCCGGACGATCCGATCACGTACAACAACAAGCGCTGGCACGACCAACCAGCGAGACAACAACACCGACAACGCGTCAACACCCGCTAGCAAGATGGCGGATAACCAAAGCGAAATAAGCTCTGCAGACTCTGCTGAAGCTCAGAATCAACTACAGAATGAGCAATCAGAACACCTCTCAGACTCACCATGGGCCAAATTTACCGCGGAACAACTTATGGAAAACTGTCCATACACAGTTGCACTCAAGGTCATCAATACAGCTCTCTGGGGTGTACCCGCACCGGCGGACGCAAATGAGACACACGCAACAACGTGGGTCGCTAAAGCTATCCACGACTACAATGTGTCAATGGCCTGGGACGATGACCTCTTCATTGACTACAAATGGGACTTTGAAGGATGGACGAAGGAGCTATTTAGCAAGGTTGAGCGTGGTACACTAAGGTCTCTTAAGAGTGTGCTACGACACCGGGGAGTATACACTGGCAACAATCACGCCAGGGTGGCGGACTCTCTCTACAACATTCTAGGTATAGAGAATACTCTTGAATGGGAACCAGCAGAGTTTCGAGCCATGAAATTCGACCAACAGTCCGAAGCGTACCAGCGCCAGCAGAGCAATAAACGCCAACAGGACACTCAGCACACAGTCTATCCAGCTGTACAACAACCACCGCAAGTACAACAACTGCCGCAATTACAACAACCGCCGCAATTACAACAGCCACCGCAAGTACCACAGCCGTCGCAATTACAACGACCGTCGCAGGGCGAGCAACAAGAGCAGTATAGAGTGAGACAAGGCGTCCAGAGCCGTTCCCAAACAATAGAGCCACAACAGCCGCTACACATGAGCGGTACGCTAGAAGGGCCTCAGCATCGACAACTGTGGGAGCAGGCCGCGCAGCCGCAACAAGGGCGTGCGCAACTACAGACACGGCCGCCAGCGACTGCATATCGCGAAGTCACGCCATTTCCGCAACAGCCAACGAACCGCGTCCCTAACAGACCACCCGAACTACCATACGACCCGTACAAGACGCTACCGCCGCGATGGTCCCGCAACGATCGACTCGACGCTAATACGATCACGCAGTTCTCTAAGCTATGGGACAATAGCAACAAGTATACAGGGAATGCGTACGATCTCCTAGACGATAAGATCAAGATCTTCTTCAGCATCTGCTGGCAGGTAGATATCCAAGAAGAGCAGTTTCACGCAGTGTTTCCCCGTATCCTTACCGGACGTGCAGAGACATTCTACATACAGGTTGTAGAGAGAGATGACAGCTTTGCTGATGCGTACATGGCAATCAAAAACCACTTCGACCATGACGTCCATCACCAGCACTACTACACAGACTGGACGACTACAACCTTCGCTCGCACCCGCACAGAGAACCCCGACAAGGGACTACACGAGGTTCTGCAGATCCTGCTTGACAAGCTGCAGCTATGCCAGCGTGCCCTTGGCAAGAACTTTGAGGGCGAGGATGCCCTACGTACCACTGTCATCAATGCCTGCCGAGGAGTACCAGAGCTTGAGATGGCACTGTTCAAACCAGCCACAATCTGTGAAGGACTCTTCTCAGACCTACGTTCTGCAGTTGAGACACACCTTGCACGGCAACACACTGCCCAGATGGTCACAGAGGACCAATATTACTTAGATCGCCGATACAACGGCAATAGAAGAATCCGAGGTGGATCTCGAGGTGGAGGAGGATTCAGAGGCGGATCCAGAGGAGCATATCGAGGAGGCGAGCAGCGCGACGACAACGGACGAGGATTCAAGCCACGCTGGAGGAAGAAATGCTTTGTTTGCCAGAAGGAAGGATGCTGGTCTACCAACCACACAGACGAAGAGCGCAAGGCTGCCCGTACACAGTTCTTCTCTACGCTATACTTTACAGGTACACAGCCCCCCAAGGACTTCTCCGTACATCTTGCAGAATACGAAGGGATCGAGCACACTAGCCAGTACAATCAGAGAGGCTGGAGAGAGGAGGAAGACTGCGAGGATGACGACGATGACGACGTCGCGGAAGCATACCTTGAACACCAGTTTTTCACGGAGCAATGCCTTGCAGATCAGGCGTTCTTGCACCACATCTCTGGCGACGACGTATACCGCCAAGACGCGCCATCAGCGCCAGCGTCACAGTTCCTGCTTGAAGACCGCTACACAAGATCTGTGTACCAAGGGATCCTACCGGATACAGGCGCTGCCAACGTATCCACAGTTGGCAAGGAGCAGTACCTTGCACTCACAAGGGAAGATCCTACAGTTAGGATGGATACGTCTACAGCAGGAAAGGCATCTATCAAATTCGGCAAGGGCGAGGCTACATCATCTATTGGCACTGCACAGGTCTCTACAGACATTGGGACGATCAACTTTGAGGTGCTTGACGCACCTACACCATTCTTATTGTGCCTTGCAGACATGGACAGGTTAAAGGTCTACTTTAACAACACCACAGATGAGCTAGTCCAGGGTGACGTACACATCCCTGTAATTCGCAAATGGGGACATCCTTGGTTCCATCTGAACAAAAGAGAGAGAGCAACTGTGTTCTTGACAGAGACAGTTGCGACGGCTCCATCGACGATTTGGACACCCAGCTGTCACGCGACTTGTTAAGCTCTTAAAGGATGCTGGCCATAACGACTTCGAAGAAAGAACCCTAGAAGAAGTCACTAAGTTCTGCCACCACTGCCAGCTCCACAGCTCCGCACCGCGCCGATTCAAATTCACTCTCAAGGATGATCACCACTTCAACTATGAGATCCTGGTGGATGTGATGTACCTGAGCAACAAACCTGTACTGCATGTGGTCGATTCCTCAACAGCGTTTCAAGGCGCGAGGTTCCTTAGCGCTATCTCAGCTAAAGAAACATGGCAAGCACTGCGGATACTATGGATCGACACGTATCAAGGACCACCAGACATTATCACGCATGACGCAGGCACTAACTTTGCAAGCACAGAGTTCCGCGCAGAAGCAAAGATCATGGGAGTCACATGCAAGCAAGTACCTACGGAGGCGCACTGGTCTATCGGCAAAACTGAGAGGTACCATGCACCTCTACGCCGCGCATGGGACATACTCTATGCAGAACTCACTGACACTATGTCCGACGACGCGATTCTCCAGATGGCTGTGAAGGCTGTCAACGATACTGCTGGCCCCGATGGACTAGTCCCGACGCTACTGGTCTTTGGAGCGTACCCACGAATGACTGCAGAGTCACCGCCATCCCCGTCAATGGTCAAGCGCAGCGAGGCTATTCAAAAGGCGACGAAAGCCCTACGCAAGATCACGGCAGAGCACCAAGTTGCAGACGCCTTGAACACCCGCAATGGACCAGCCACTGCAGACATGCTCGCGCTCCCACTCCAGAGCGAAGTCTTAGTATGGAGAGAGAGTGATGGCTGGAATGGCCCGTACAAGATCGCCAGTACAGATGGCCACAACGTCACTGTTGACATGGTCAATGGTCCAACGACATTCAGATCCACTGTCGTCAAGCCATACTACAGACCGGACCACCTTTGGAGCGACCCCGATGCGCCACACGCGCCGAATGAGCCGCATGAGCCGGTAGCAGTACCACCGGCAGTGCAACCACGCAGGAGAGGCCGCCCTCCAGGGTCAAAGAACAAGCGGAAGGCGCACGCGTACATCACCAAGAAGGAGCAGGACGATCTTGAGCTAGCTATCAAGCTACGAAACGATGGAGTGATCACAACCTCAGGCGCCCCCTTTGAAGCGTCTGATGACCAAGAGATCAGCGACCTCGTAGGTCGTGGAGTCTTTAAATTTGAGCAATACGACGAGAGGCTACACAGCAAGATCCGGATCTTCAAGTCACGCCTAGTACGTGAGGTCAAGGGAAAGACAACCAAGCCCTATGAGAAATCCCGCCTAGTTATCCAAGGCTACCAGGACCACGGCAAGGAGACTATTCTGACGCAATCTCCAACCATACAGCGATGTAGCCAGCGCCTGATTATGTCGCTGGCGCCCGAGATGGTACAACGCGGAATGAACATCGAGCTCCGTGACATTACGCAGGCGTATCCCCAGGCGCAGACAACCCTGAAGAGGACGATACTCGCACATCTTCCTACTGAGCTAGTCCATCGATATCCAGAAGGCACGCTACTCCATGTGATCAAGCCGCTGTATGGAATCGCTGAGGCAGGAGTCCACTGGTGGACAACGTATCACGGACACCATTGCAAGGAACTGGACATGGCAACATCGACGTACGACCCATGCCTATTGATCACGAACAGAGACGACGCAGGCATCTTCGGCATCGTTGGCATGCAGACAGACGACACTCTCATGCTCGGGACACCAGCGTTCTCGTCACGTGAAGAGAAGAAGATCCAGAAGGCAGAGTTCAGGTCAAAGCCAAAAGCAAGGCTGACACCAGAAGTGCAGTTAGACTTCAATGGATGTACACTCACGATGGACGCCAGCAGAGTCTTGACCCTTAGGCAGAAAGGACAAGGAGGAAGGATCAGGCTTGTGGATATCAGGGCACCCGACCGCGCGCAACAGTACACCGAGCAGCGCGCCCGCGGAGCGTACATCGCATCAACATGCCAACCAGAGGCGTCATTTGACCTGTCCGTCGCTGCTCAAGCTCAGCAACCATCAGACGAGGACATCAAGGCACTCAACAAACGCCTGAAATGGCAGATGGAGAATCTCGATCGTGGCCTGCGCTACGTCACTGTCAATCTTATGGAGGCCAAGTTGATGGTCTTTGTGGATGGCTCCTTTGCCAACAACAAGGACCTCAGCTCACAGCTAGGCTTTGTCCTTATGCTCGTCAACGAGTCTATTGACGTCAACACCTTCACAATACAGGGCAACGTGATCCACTACAGCTCTACAAAATGCAAGCGCATCACACGGAGCGTACTGGCCTCAGAGATCTACGGCATGGTCAACGGCTTTGACATAGGCATTGCAGTTGCAACCACGCTGAGGATAGTTACAGAACGACTTAGACTACCTGCAATTCCCTTGGTTATCTGTACAGACTCGTACTCCTTGTACGAGTGCCTAGTAAAGCTTGGGACGACGAAGGAAAAGCGTCTCATGATCGACATCATGGCGCTGCGCCAATCATATGAGCGTCGCGAGATCACGGAGATCCGCTGGATCAATGGTGAAGACAATCCTGCAGACGCCTTCACCAAGGCATCGCCAAACCGCGCTCTTGAACGCTTTATTGACGGCAATAAGCTGACAGTCCGAGTAGAGGGATGGGTGCAGAGGCCGACAAGCTTTGATGGTTGATGCTACACACAGTTACCATCAACACATACTGTCACTACCGATACAAGCAGAGTTACTAGCTACCCAGAAAGAAAAGACTTCCAGTGTCGGATCGTGAGTATCGGTAGAGACGTCGGCTGCTGGACACTTCGGCCCGACTTCGGCCCACCTTGCGCAGAGCTTAGGTATACCTTCGTAGCAGCTGTGTTCGTAATAAATCAATCACCATCACCGAACAGAATGCATTCCTAGTTATCGTTATTTCCTTTCAGCACTAGTGCTATAGACCTTCCAACAATTAGAGTCCTTTTTCAGTCAGAGACTATGTAGGACTTTGGCCGAAGGCCGTTCTATCTTGGTTTTTCTAATTTACATGGTTTTCTGGTATGGTTCGCTAATATGGTTTTTGGCTTTTCTACAAAAGATAGCTTGTATCTGTTTGTTGCCAGGTGCTAAAGAGCAGTTTGATAAGTAGAAAGAGATGTAGCAGCGGGCTCTTGTGGCAAAGGAGAGGGTTGTGGTTTTAGTTTTATACAGTGTCTCTCTGTAGGTCTTCTGGTGGCTGTCCTAGGTACCATTTTCTTGTTCCTATTCTGGTGCTAGTGATAAAAGCTAGGGTTGCTTCTATACCTATACTAGTGTGGAGTAGTAGTGGTAGTGTGACTGGGCGATGTTTGATTGTTTGTAGGAGCGTTTTTCGATGGTCTTTGTATAGATGACAGTACAGTAGTAGGTGTTCTGGCGTTTGGATGTTTTGGCAGGTGCAGCGATTCGAGTCTCGTTTCTTAAAAGCCCACAACCGTAGACAGAACAACAACACAATTAATAATCAATATCATCATCATCATCATTACCCATTTCATCAGTATTCCAGATGAGAGTGAATATGATGAAGGTGGAGAAATGTGCGTGAACTTGTTGTATTGGAGCTACGGGAGGAGTGAGAATATCTATGGTGCGCGCACGGAGCAGCTGACTAATCAGTGCCTGGCCAATCAGAGCACGGGAAGCCTGATTCACCGTGAATACTAGTGAAGGCTCTTCACACAACACCAACTTCGAGTTTTTCCGAACACGTGAAACTCCATCAGAAACCAACTATATCCATCGAAAGAAATAGATTCCGACTACTCCCAAGCCGTGCAGCCGCGTGGTTGTGGAGATACAAGGAATCTAGTACCCCAAACGCGACGCGTCCGAACTTTCAGAAGCAAACGCACAGACCAAGCCAAGAAACAACAACAACAAGACAACAGAGAGGCTAAAATGGCCCTAGATAGCGACACTATCGTAGTCCAGCTACCAGAAGACCTCCGGACCCCAAGCATACTGGAAGACGAAATGGAGACCGAAGAAAGGCACCAAGACAACCCAACAACACCCATCGAGCAGACCACCCAAGAAACACCAAGGTTAATTATCCAACCACCACTAAATAAAAGACCAGCGGCATTCTCCCCAGAGATAACTACAAGAGAGAGAAACCATTCCAAAACAGCCAAGAAAAGAAACCAAGAGCAAAGGACTCAACCCAAGCAATCTTCTGGGCAAGGGACCTAATTCTACAAGCATCTACTATGGCCGAATCCCATCTATCCCAAAACAAACTACTACAACTACTGGACGTCTTTAGAGACTTTACGGAACTAGGCAGGGTTACGCAGCAAATGACTGAGAAGTTTACAGCACAGCTTGCGTACCAGACTGCAACGCTTACAAGCGCCTCCCAACAAGCTACAAAGACACTAAAGAAAGCTGTTAATGCCGCAACCGGACCACAAAACCCAAACAACCAAGAAAAACCAAACAACCAGAACACCCAGAACATCCAAAACACCCAAAACACCCAAAACACCCAACAAAACAAGACATCATACGCTAGCGTAGCCGCCCAGAACAACGGAAACACATGGACTACAGTGTCTACAAAAAAGAAGACAAACAAAAAGCCAGCAAGCTACTACCAAGCAGTCCTTACGCTTACCCAGCCTACGTCCCACACACCACTCCAGATTAGAGACCTAATCAACGAAGAGTTCACAAAGGGCGGCATCAAAGACCCAGTAGTGAAGGAAGTAACAACAAGTAGAAAGAACAATATTATTCTAACAACTACTCCAACCTACTCAGGAGAATACCTAGTCCAACACAAGCATATATGGCATCAAAAGTTTGAGCTAAAGAATGTACAACTACTAGAATCATGGACGAAAGTAGTAGTACATAATGTGCCAACAGAATGGGAGGGAGCAGAGACACTAGAGATACTCCACACAGAAATCCCAGCATACAACAACGGACTACAAATTACTGGCAACCCATACTGGATATCAAGAGAATGGCAAAACAAGAAGAACAGCTCTATTGTAATAGCATTCAAAACAGCCGAAGACGCAGCCAGACTTGGTGGTAGAATTACAATCCTTGGACAAACTCTCTTCACCGAAAAGTTTAAGCCTATAGCAGCATCTACCCAATGCCTAAACTGCCAACAATTTGGCCACCCAGCCACTAGATGCCGAAACCAACCAGCATGCAATTTGTGCGGAGAAGAACATGCAACTACAACACACAAATGCTCAGTGTGTAATACAAAAGGAAAACCTTGCAACCATACACTCCCTCACTGCAGTAACTGCAAAGAGCCCCACTTTGCAAACAGCAAAGAGTGCGAACTCTACCAAGCAGTAACAAAGAGCATCCCCGCAGGATTTTAATGTCAAACAACATTAGGATCCTCCAAGTCAATCTCAACAAGAGCATTACAGCGACTGAGTCTACACTGCAACTTGCAGTTGAACTTAAAGCTGATATAATTGCAATTCAAGAGCCATGGCTAACTACCAACGACAACTACGCAACAGCAAGATCCATAAATCACACTGCGTTTATCCAGATCTTACCAGTAACAAACCTACCCGTCCGCCCTAGGGTTCTATTTTATATATCTAGAACACTAGAAGCAGAGACATTCACCCAAAACGACTTCAAAATAGACCCAGACGCAATGGCTATTACAATAAAAGGTTCTAATTTCCAATTTAACCTATTTAACGTATACAACCAAACAAACGCCGAAGGGGAAAAAACACTGCCCAGAGCTATACTTAACACTAAGCTTCCGCCAAGTTCTATTTTAGTACTAGATAGCAACGAGCACCATCCATTGTGGGACCCGCTATGCCCAACGACGAGCCAAGGAGCACAGCCATTTATTGACTGGATTGAAGAACAAGATCTAGAGCTCCTAAACACACCAGGAGTAGGCACATTCTTCAGACCACACCTATCTAGAGAAACAGTCCTAGACCTCTCACTTGTCACTCCAGACTTGGCTAGCAAAGCTACGGACTGGCAGACCATACCTGAAACTGGATCAGATCACTACGGCCTCCTATTCTCCATCCAAACAAACGCAGACCTTGTAGAAAACCCGACAAACCAACCCAGATTTAATACTGCAAAGGCTAACTGGGACACCTTTAACAAAGAACTAGAAACGGCAATCCAAAACAGTCAAACCTTGCAAGATATGGACCAGATCAGTGATCCAAGAAAGGCAGACTTAATGGACCTCCTCCTCGGCAACAATACAGAGCTAGAGCAACAGCTAGAAAGAGATTGGTAAAGCAATAACTCAAGCAATCCAAACTGCAGCAAACAAAGCTATCCCTATCACTAGACTTGGCCCAAAACCAAAAGCTTGGTGGAACAAAGAGCTGACAAAGCTACGACAAGACACTTCCCACTATAGACGGATTTTTAAAGAAAAGCTCGAAACTACTGCGATACACGACGCCTACCTAGAGAAAAGAGACTTCCTACGTGCACGAAACACCTACAACAAGGCAATCAAAGACGCTAAAAGGAAACACTGGAATGAATTCCTAGAGAAGGAGGACCCGCAGTCAATCTACAAAGCCATGACATACACAAAGGATAATAAAGTCGAAAGAATTCCACCTATACAAGGAGAAACATCATTCGACAAGAAATGCCAAGCGTTCCGCAACACGCTATTCCCACCACCGCCCATAACCGAAGCGCCCACATTCACCAAATACCAGGAAAAGAGATGGGATTGGCCAGCACTATCCACGACTGAACTAGAACGAGCATGCTCAAGGCAAGTCAAAAGTAGCACCCCAGGACCAGATGCAATAACACAAGACATAATCACAGCCGCGTACAAAGCTCAACCGCAAACGATGTTTAAAGCTTTCTCACTCCTATTCGACTACGGATACCACCCAAAATGCTGGAAACAAGCTACAGGAGCTGTTCTTAAAAAGGCATCAAAACCAGACTACTCAATCCCAAAAGCCTACAGAGTCATTACTCTATTAAGCTGTTTAGGAAAGATTAACGAGAGGATCACCGCAAGTAGGCTGAGCAATCTAGCAGAAATCACAGAGCTACTACACCCAACCCAAATTGGGGGTAGACTCAAGAAATCTGCAATAGATGCAGCTATGCTACTCATCGACCAAATTCAGCACCAGAAACAGAAAGGCCAAATAACATCAACTATCTTCCTGGACGTAAAGGGAGCATTTGACCACGTCTCACACAATCAATTCCTGCGAACGCTTAAGAAGCTAGGCCTTCCAATTAGTCTTATCGCTTGGACAAAATCCTTCTTCTCAAACAGATCGCTAAGACTCTCCTTCGACAATAAGACACAAGAATTCTCCGAGATAATAGCTGGGATACCTCAAGGCAGCCCAGTGTCTCCAATATTCTTTCTTATCTACACTAGAGACCTCTTCCCAGGACTACAAAGCTTCAACCTATCCTATATTGACGACCTATCTCTATCGACATCCTCAACATCCCTAAAGAAAAACGTCAAAATACTAGAACAGCAAGTCCGCCTACTATCTCACCGAGGGAAAAACTTAGCGATTATGTTCGATATAGCTAAGACAGAGCTCATCCACTTTACCGCCAAGAAAGAGAGAAAAGAGAGAAGCCTACAGCTCCCAGACAACACCATTGTAGAACCAAAAGACACAATCAAATGGCTAGGTATCCACATAGACAATAGACTGTCCTTCAAGGAACATATTGCTACACGCGTAAGCCAAGCAAGGAAAGCATTCTATAGACTAGGGAGACTAGCCAACATCGAAAGAGGACTCTCCCCAAAAGCAGTACGACAACTATACCTAGCCTGCGTCACAAGCGTTGCAGACTACGGATCACAAATATACTGGAAGAACCAAAGCTACGC